TCCCTCCTCCCCCCTCCAGCCGCCCCCCATCCGCGTGCCCTCCCTTGGCCGGCCTCCGGCGCGAAGGAACGAGAGAAGCGAGTGCCGAGCGAGCTGCTCTGGGTATTGATTCCCCCTCGCGGCCGTGGCAGCTCCGCCGCTTCTCGCCGTTCTCCAGCGCCCCAGTCTGGAGCAACTCACTGTCCGTGGCTGCGGACCGATTACGACCCTTTTCAACCCTCTTCGCATTTGCCGCTCGCGCCAAGCTAACGGAGTCGCGTAAGGAACGAGTGGAGTGGAGGAGCTCGATAACGATCGAGCTCCGCGGATAATAAGATTATCGTCGATCGATCGGGGAGAGAGAGAGAGAGAGAGAGAGAGGGAGGAACACGTCTCGTTTCCCTCCTCTGGCTTGAAAAAACGATTAGCGCGGCTCCTCTCCTCGAGGAGGATCCAGAGAGGAGGAGGAGGAGGAGGAGGAAGATACAGGGAGACGTCAAGATGAACGGGAAGGATAACAAAAGTGGTGACACTCGCCAAGATCGTCTGGTTGCTTACGCGTCGTCGGGTTGTTCGGTGGTCACGATTCATTGTTGAAACGTTCAATTGTTGTTTTTCCCAACATCGTTGATAGTGAAGTATATGTATATATATATATATATATGTATGTATGTATGTATGTATATATATGTATATATATAGTTGGATATACGTGCACGTATATACGAGCGTGTACGTATATATGACTGCGGTTCGACTGTTTGGATATCTACAGTTACGGGAGGCCAGGGTCGGTGGAGCTGCAACGAAAGGAGATTGTTTTTACGTTGGATAGATTATAGGAAGGATATCTCATCGGAAGGATTGAATTTTACTTACTGTTCGACACGTGCTGGCTCACGTGGTGTTGGAAAACGAGCAACGAGCAACTATGAATCTCTTGTTGAGTTGACTTGTTCTTTCCATTGATTCTTTTTTTTTTTTTTTTTGAACGTTTCGCGTGTGTACACGCGAATGATCTTAGGGTACCTGGTATAAATATATATATATATTATATTTTCGTTCTCCTCTCTGCTCGACTTCGCTTAGCAACGATTTTCCAAAAAAAAAAAAAAAAAAAAGAATATATATATATATATACATATATATATAGATTTATGAATTAAAGAGAGAGAGAGAGAGAGAGAGAATATAGGAAGAGAATATACAAATATTTCGACGAATGTTTTTTTTTCCCCGAAGTACAAAGGAAGAGTGAAGAATTTGGGAATAGATGAATGGATGAATGCGAAGAATGAAAAAGGGATAAATGGAAGGGGAAGAGAAATGAGGGGGCAAAGGATTTGCAGAGGAGATTATTAATTTTAATGATAATAAGACGAGAGAGGAGGGCAAAGTACGTGATTCGTTGTAGATTATATTACAATGTAAATACAACGCTAAAAAGAGAACGTGATAACCGAAGATGTAAAATATTTTTATACAGAGAGATCCTTTCTACGCGTATATTGCAAAAGTATTCTATATATATATATACATACATATATATATATTTATCTTTGAGAAGGAAGAAGAAAAACTTATCGATATTACTTTAAGAGAAGAGTATATAAGAATTTTTTGAAATAATCTGTTTCTGTTCGTCGAGTCCGACACCTCCCCTCCCCCTTTAAGGATATCTCATTTATCGCTTGAACTCATTGAAGGGATCGATGAAAGTATCGAACGAAGAAGGAGAGAATTTTGCGACAGCTGTGAGTGACATAGAAGAAGAAGAGAGTGGATAAGAAAGATAGAAGAGATCCTTTTGAAGTTGATAATAATAATAATAAAAAAAAAAAAAAGGAAAGAAATCAAATATAGTACAAGGTTATATATTCGTGAAATCGTCGATTTTTTTAAAAATAGATTCGTGTTCTAGTTTTACGAAGCAGAAAATAATAATAAAAGAAAAAAAAAAAAAAGAAGAAGAAAAAGAAGAAGAAGAAGAAGAAGGAGGGATCCTACAGTAGTGATCTGTAAAAGTGCAAAAACGGTTTGCCTTAAGAAAAGTAGAGTAATTATCGAATGTACAAATATAATAATAATAATAATAATAATAATCGAAAGATATTTTCCATCTATCGATCTTCGTATTGCACACCTTATATAGCTTTCCCATATGCTGCTTAACGAGCACGTTAGAAGAAGGAAATATCGCTCGTGTCGTGTTTCGAACGAAAACAACGTCGCACGTTGTGACGTGTGAATTATCGAAAAAAAAAAAAAAAAGAAAAGAAAAAAAAAGAGAGAGGAAGAAACGAAAAAAGGAAAAATAATTAAAGAGATATATCCCATGCTTTTTTCCCCCCTTGTCTGTCATCCCCTCGTCGTCTTATCTTATCTTACATCATACACGATATACGAACCGGAATTGTTTCGAATTGTTGTTCGAGATAGAAGAAAAGAGAAAAAGAAAAAATGCTTGAAAATATATATCGAAGCGTCACCGAATGAGAGGAGGAGGATGCACAATGCACGACGACTGTGCCTGTTTTACTTCGTGTGCACGTTCGTGATCAAGATGTTGCATCTGTTGAGAAAACTGTTCGAGCCGTATACGATAACGTTCACCAAGAAGATAGTGCAAATTTTCAATCGGAGGGAAGAATTCGCGTGAAATCGCGATCCAATACTGCGTAAAACATACGAATAGAAAACGAAGGAAGCGGCCATCCCCATCCCATCCCAGTTACGATGATTCGTGCAACGTTGGGCAATCTCGAACCTATCCCCTTTTGCACAGTGAGCGATGGAAAATGGATACTGGTTCCTCGACTTCGAATCGAATTAAATAACGAGGAAATCTTTCCCGTGCACGATTGAATTACGACGAAATTAATCGTTATCGTCGATTCTTTCACCCCTCCTCCTCCTCCTGCTCCTCCCCCCGTCCAAAAGACAATAATAATAATAATAATAATAATAATAATAATAATAATAATAATAATAGTAATAGTAATAATAATAATAATAATAATAAAGGCATCGATCGAAAGAGAAACGAACGAGTCGAGTAAAAAATTAATTTGGATCAAACTACAGGGGAAGAGAGAGAGAGAGAGAGAGATAAAGAAAAGAAAAATTTGCATTCCATCGAGGAGATATATATATATATGTAAATATATATCTCTCTCTCGGTCGTTCGGTTACACCTCGTCGTCAACGGGTAACGAAGTACGAAGATAATGGTAGAGCCGAGATGGTCGATCAAGTGTATGAATAGTACGTTGAATTTGTTGTACCCGTGCACCAGTTTCGCGGATCTGAAGAAGTTACACAAAAAGTATTGCAAGAAGTACTTTTGCCTTTGCAAAAGGCACACGATCAGCGTGATATGTATAAATGAGACGAGGAAATTGTATTGGTTCAATTGCAAGAACGTTCGGGAGAAGGTGAATTTCGGGCTCGGGGACGGTTATTATTACAAATTGCTGAGAATAATTAACGGCGCGTTGAACACTTGGGCACAACGTTACATCGACGGACTGAGCGTCGCACGCCGCGAGATCATGTTCAGGATAAACGGCACGGCCGAGAAAAACATGAAGCTGTTGAAGGAGGGTTGTTACTGTCATTATCATCCGCACATGACGGCGGACGCGTGCAACGCCGACTTTCTGAAAAAAGTCGTAAGTTTTTGGGCCGGAGAGGGCCTTAGGGGGATACGCGAGAAGCTACGCGGTATGACAAATTACGCTAAAAAGGTTAGACAGGCATCCGAGTTATCCGCGTTTCCTTTTTCACTCGTTTCTTTCCCCCTCCATTCTGTTTGTCGTTGTAGTCCTTCACCGTCGTCGCGTTGTACTTTTACCGACTGAGCGAATATAATAGAAGGATTTAATAATTAAATTTTTGCACGTTTCATTTCTGTTTACCGTTTCCTTTTTTTCCACTTTCTGTTTCTATCTTTCTGTTTCTTGTCGTTTGATGATCTTTTTATGTATGTAGGATAATTCGTTACGATGATAGGATAATGTAAGTATTGTTGCAAGTATATACAATAAGCAAGCATCCTTACGATATACGCGAATCGATATATCGCGTAGCTCGATAATTTCGATCAAAGAGAATACGAACTCCCTCTCCCCTTCACGTTTCCATTTCTTTTTTTTTTTTTTTCATATTTCGACTCTGATGATTCTCTGAGTAATTTTGAAGAACACAGGACACACACGCACACACAAATACACATATACCTATTTCATCGTCCTTATATTTTCATAATATTCACACGAATATTGATTAACGTTGTATAATTATTAACGTTCGTACACGTGTAATAAATATATTCATTAAATGTTCACTCGATCAGTATTCGGATCACGAACACTGGCGAATTGTATCATACACACACACGCACACACACGCACGCACAAACACACACGTATACATGTTATTCTCTTCTCGTGAAAGAATTGCCCGAACGGAATATATGGGATAGATCGGATAAGTAATATCGGTGAAATGTTGTAGATGTCAGACGACGATAAAATGTCCCTAACTACCGCGGTTAGCGACGACGACGACGGGGAGAGCGTGATAAATTCGCCCTATCGAGGGAAACAGACTGGTACAGCCGCTGCGTCGTTCAATTGTACGGGGGCGGTACGAAAAGCTGGGTAAGTGGGACGTGGCGATGGTCGACAAAAGATGCGGACGAGAATGATCGTTCGATAGAGACGAGAGGGGGAGGGTAAGGAAGATAGGATTAAGTTTTCGAATGTTTCGAATCGTAGATTTCTAAGCGTGAAGAAATGGCTGTTACGAAAGAAGCATCAGATCGAGCTAGCGAGGAAGAGGGGTTGGAAAGGTTACTGGGTTTGCCTGAAGGGGACCACGCTCCTCTTCTATCCTTGCGAATCCCAAGAAAGTAGAACCATGGAGGCGGCGCCCAAGCATTTGATCATAGTCGATGGCGCGATAATGCAACCGATCCCGGAACATCCGAAGAGGGACTACATATTTTGCTTGAGCACCGCTTTCGGCGATGCTTATTTATTTCAGGTACGTTTTATTTATTTCGGGTATTCAGATACGCGGAAGGAGAGGACGAATTAATTGAGATCTGATTTTTTTTAGATTCGTGAAAAATCGATTTTGAAGTTTGTTCGAATTTCGAAACGGGATATACCTTTTTTCTTTTTGAGATCTCGAAACGTTCGAAACTTTTAAAATTCGAGATTTTTTTTCTTTTTTTAATAAAGATAAGATAAAAGATTTTAAAATCCAGAACGTCTTTTTTTCTGAGATTTTTTCCAAGATTTGAGAAAATTTTCAAAATTTTCAAAATTCATTTCTTTTAAGATCTCGAAACGTTTGAAATTTTGATTTTTTTTTTGAGATCTTGAAATTATCGAAATTCTCAAAAGTTTAAAAATCCAAAATATCTTTTTTTCTGAGATCTCAAAATTTTCAAAATTCAGGATTTTTTTTTTAAGATTTCAGAAATTATCAAAATTCTCAAAATTTTCGAGATATTCTTTTTTGAAATTTCGAAACTCTCAAAATTGTTTAAATTTAATATTCGGGATGTCTTTTTTTCGAAAATCTTTTTTTAAAAACTCAAAATTCTCGAAACTAAGACCTCTTTTTCGAGATCTCGAAACTTTCAAAATTTTTTAAAACTTAGAATACCTTTTCATCGTCGAATTTTTCTCTCTTGTAAAATTTCGATTTTTGAAATTTCTTAATTTTCCTCCGTTGTAAAAAAATAAAACTTTTAATGTTTCTAAACTCGAAACATTTCCAATTGTTTCGACAAATTTTCCAACGTTCTGTCTTCAATTCATCGCGAACAAAAAAATAATAAAATAAATACGCGAAAAAATTTACCATATTGAACATATAAAACCTTTTTATAATTATTTATCGACGATAATAATTATTTTCTTATCAGTTACAAATTCAGTGACGGAATTTTTTTCACTTTTACATTAGGCTCCGTGTCAAGTGGAACTCGAGAACTGGGTGAACAGTATACATTCGGCTTGTGCAGCCGCGTTTGCGCGTCATCGTGGTAAAACTGGAACCCTTCATTTATTGCAGGAAGAAATATTTCGCTTAGAGAAAGCGATAGAATCGGTAAGCGGGTCGAGCATATACACGCGTGTATAACTCTGCTTTAATTTATGCGCATTATTCTCATCCGTCAAAGAAGGGAGAGAGAAAGAGAGAGAGATAGTGAAAAATCGCTCAATATCCTCTCTCGCGTTTTACAGGACCACAAATTGAAACACATGGCAGATCTTCAGCAATCCGTCGTGTCTGACGTGGAGACGAAACAGCAGATCAACAATCAGATTGTTCAGTGGGAAGAAAATTTGGAGAGACTTCATTGCGAACAATTCCGACTCAGATGTTACATGGCCAGTTTACAAAGTGGCGAATTACCAAATCCAAAGGTAATAAAAAATTACGTTTAAGATTAGTTAAAAGAAATTTCAATATCCATTTTTGCAAGATAAAAAAAATTTATTAACTTCTTCAGGGACGTTGAAACGTACGTGTAGTTGTTCAGTTTTCTTTAAAAATTATTATTAAGTAAAAAAAAAAAAATTAAAATATTCTTGAAGAACTCTTCACTATAGAATTTTTTAAGAATAAAAAATTCGAAACTGATGATATTTTATTTTACTCGACAATTATTGCTTCAAAAGGATTTATAAGTAACTTGTTTCTGAAAAGGTTAAAGAAAAATTATTTTCAATTTTTTCATATAAAAAAAATTTTCAAAAAAAAATATAATTTTGATTTTTGAAAGATTATATAGATTATTGTATAATATTTTTTTAGAAACATCGATATAATAGAGGAAAGGGTATCGAATAAAATAGATTAGAAATATGAGACATCAAATTTTCGATCTGTTCAATCTTCTTCAAATATTATAACAACCAAAGCATTGTTACATAGCAATTGTTGTTGATAGGTAGTCTTTTCTTTTACGTTTAACAGAAACTTTTTATATTTCCGTAATAAAATGTTTGTACTCAAAGTAAAATTTACTTTAATTTTATTTTGTGATTTTTTTTAAAGAAAAGATAAATCATATTGTAATAATCATAATTTCAGTATATTAATAAAGATTTGAAGATTTTTCTGTTTTTGATTATAATATGATAAGAAAAATTTTATTTGACTAATAATAAAATAAATTAAAAGATTCAGAAAGTATAATAAATGTTATTCATCTAATTGCGATTATTTTATTATATTTGACACTACGTATTATACTTGTAGATTAATACAAAATTCTATTAGTAATTTAAATATCCGAATTTAAACATTACTAATCCGATATTTATTTAAAAAAAGTAAAAAATTCTGCACAATCCATAACATTTATTTTTACCCAACATAAAATTCCCCTAATTTTTTTTCACTTAATCCCTCTAAAAAATAAAACAAGTATTCCACATTCGTGCCCTTTCCTACGCAAAAACCTCGAAAGAGGTGAGCATTGAGTATCGAGTTAATGTCGCGAAATGTGGTTCGATAAAAAAAGAAAAAAAAAAAATTTGTCGCGCGTTAACAATGCACAATTTAACGCACGCATTATATAGCCGTTATACAGGAAATGGGAAGGCTGGTATCGATCATTGTAAACCGTAAATAGATTCTTGTAAAACTTGAACGAGTCGTTCAGTTTCCGCTAAATTAGTAGGGGGTAGCCCCGATAATATCGAGAATCATCACCTCGATAATTTCCAATCTTGATTATTCTCTCCCCAGAGTTTATTGACGCACGTGTCCCGCGCCACGAAGCAGACGTTGAACAAATTAGGGGTTTTCACCGTGTCGTCGTTTCACGCTTTCATATGCGCGCGGAGCCCTTCCCTATTGAACAATCTGTTGGCGGGACGAGGGGCTACCAAGAGAAGGCCGCCATTGTTGTCGAGATCCAACAGCGGATCGAGCAGGAGATCCCTTCAAATTTCGTCCAGAGATGATGAGAAGACGGTGAAGGTTTTCGTGCCAGAAAATCAGGTAAGATAATTGTTCAAAAGTTTTCAATTTCCTATTTGTTACACGACAAATTTTATCTCTCTCGTGCGAATATTTTTCATCTTTTTTTTTTCTGTTTTTCTCTTTGGGTTTCTTTTACATGAGAGAAGATAAAGAGGTTAGGAAGAAAGTAACTAAAAAAAGTTAAAAATTTTTAAGAATGAAGTTATAGTTTAAATAATTAATTAATATTTATTCGTAGTCATTATAATTTATCCATTATTTCGTATAACCTCGACCGTTTGGCAGTTATTCGCGATTATTTTTATGTTTCGAAGAATAAATTATCGAGGTAAGTTTATTCGTAACTTCAACTATTAAATTTTACCCGTCTATGGTAAGTTGGAAGAAGTACGATTTTATTCTTCTATACACGAACATAAATATAGTATAGTCGAATCGAGTATATTTGAGTGCCAATTTGTGCTAGCAATGCACAGTAGCGACGATTGCCTGTTGTAATGAAGAGTATTATTGATGGAATTATTCGAAGCTATTTTTCTAATTAATTTATGATCAAAATACGTTATCGAAAAAAAAGGATAAATTTTAGCTTATTTTGTTTTATCGATAGACTCATTTCCTCTATACATTTCGTTATTTCTCCTATTTATCATTATGCTTATATATTTTATTTACAGCTGGTATCCGTATTTGTGCGCGATGCTATGACAGTGGAAGAATTCCTCGCAAGCGCTTGCAACAGAAAGAATCTTAATCCAATGGAACATTTCGTTCGCGTGAAAAAACGCCGCGACATGGAAGATCATAATTATTTCGTACCACATAGAACCGACTTGATAGAAACATACGTGAGTATTTTATATAATATATATTTATATAGAAGACACATCACGATAAAAATTTGGAATTGTAATTTTCGAAAGTTGGGATTTCATTTCCTTCCTTCTGTAATTGCTTTTTAAACGGTTTACGGATATCGAAATATATTGTCGCAATATACACACGTGGAAACATCGTGACAGGTGCATCGATACAAGCGACACCACAGTGGTTCAAATAATGTATATTAACATTATAGTGAGTATTTTATATAATGTATGCTGTTAAATTGTTAAACTAGTCAAGAGAAAAGACATAGAAAACACATCACGGCAAAAATTCGAAATTCTGTCATTTTCAAAAGTTATTTTATTTTTTCCTTCTGTGATTGCTTCTAAACGGTTTACGGATATCGAAACATATTGTCGCGATGTATACACACGTGGAAACATCGTGACAGGTGCATCATACAAGCGACACCATAGTGATTCGAATAATGTATATTAACTGGACAAAATTAATTTTTAAATGTATAAAAAATAATTGTTTCGATGCAATGTACAGCAATTACATTTATATATTAAAATCTTATAAATTTTTAAACGTTTATAAAAATACGCGTATATAGATAGAGAATTAATCAATAATTGATCGGTCATATTTCAATAATTTTTTAAGGCATCTTTAAATTTCAATTTCAATCAATTAAAATCATTATAAATTATAATGATCAATAAGTTTTTTATAAATTAAAGTTAAATAACTAGTTTATATTATTATATTAGAAATTCATGTAATGTAATGACTCATCAATGATTTTTTACATATTTCACATTGTTCCACGCGATAAGAGTCGAAATATGTGAAAAATAAAAGCTCTTTACTTTTTTTTTTTGTCATATTTAATTCGCAAAACTATATTAAAATTAATTTTAATGTTTACGGCTACTTAGCAAATTCTTTAATCTAGCCATTGATATTTATGAAATTTATCTTATATTATAATATATATATATATATATATAACATTATTAATAATTCCTAACTTTAATTGGTAATTTTTTTATTCCTTTCAATGTTTGAGTAATCGATATGCAATATATCTTCTTGTAGTGCCTTTTTCATTTAATAATTTTCAATTTTATCATTTTTATTGTTAAATTATTACTGTTTAAATATCCATATCTGACCCATCTATCTATCGGATAATTTTAGGATCACAAATATTTCTATATCTGTATATTTATACATATTTTTTATTCTAATACTAAATTAAACGCAATGTTAATTTTTTTTTTATATATTTACTCACGCATTTTTATGCTACATAAATTTTTAATAAAACAATAAATTATAAAAAGTAGTATTATTTTCTAAAAATTAAATCTCCATATATACTCAAAACCAGAAAAAAAATAATTTTGTCCTCCTATTATTATTCGAACCACTGTGTCGACGAATTAATAAAACTTTCGTGCTTTGCACAAAGTCGAAGCCATTTGCATATAATTCCATTATTCGAGTCCGATACACGTTTCAACGTGTATCTAAAATCCTTTGTCACTCGAATATATTCAAATCCAATCGAAGTTACACGAACTTTAAGCAACTTGTTGAACAACAACAGTCTTTAAACTGTTAAATATATAATTATAATTTCAGTTGCACACGCACGAAGTGGTCGAGGTATGCGCGAAGATCCTGTATCAAGTGGAGTTGCAAAGGAACACTCTTGAACAAATGTGGGGATTTTCGGTGGAGGCGGAGTTGATCGAGAATTCCGATCGACAGGACGAGCTGTGCTGTTACGTCAGCAGGGTCGAGGATAAGAGCGTAGCAATGCAGAATGGTAATTGTATTTATATCGTTGGGATAAACCTTTCGGGCGATTCGTCGATCGATTGCACGCACCATTCCATCCCTCTCTATAAAACTGGCTCGACGTGTATGTATAAATAGAAGGCCGAGTCGATAGAGCCCAAGATCCTTCTTTCCGTCCCTCTTTGATCTAAATTAAGAATGAAGGTGAGATACACGTGGAAACACAAAGTCGAGCGTCCTTAATCAGATTTTTTTTTTTTTTGTCTGCATCTACAGGATATCTTGTGGGGAATGACATTGAAAAATATTGATTTTTTTTTCTCCCCTCCCCTCCCTCTTATACTGTCACTCCCTTATTATTGAACAAGCAAACTTGCAATAGACACATCCTTCAAACGAAGCATACATAACTGCACTTCGTGCAATATATATGTATATATATATATATATGTAAGTTATAGATACTATCGATAAAAACTAAGTTCTTCGCTTCCCTTTCCCCTCTAGGTTATAAATTATTCTCGTGAACAGAATATTATTCTTTTTCCTTTCCTATTTACTTTCCATTTTAAGTGAACATTACTCGAAAGCATCCATCTTCGTTCCAATTTTCGGTCAAGGATATTTTCCATCTTTGCTTATTTGCTTCTCAGGTATCATTAAAGGTGACGAAATCATGGTGATCAACGGCGCGATAGTGAGCGACCTGGACATGATGTACCTGGAAAGCGTGTTGCAAGAGGAGGTCGGTTTGTGCATGATGATGAGATCCTCGAGGACCGAGCCCCCGGATCTCACGGGGATAATGAGAGTGACCGACGACATAATCGAGAGTTTGGTTTGCCCACCGCCACCCTCCGACCCGCCTGTTATAAGCGAAGAAATGATCTCTGGGTTAATCGTTCCGGCTCCTGGATGGAGTAAGCAATATCCATTTATCGTTATAATTTAGTTAATCGTAGTGGTATTATTATAATATGGAAGGCTCGTGAGAAGTTACGTTCTTTGAACGTATAAATAAATAACGTATAATTCTTTCTTATCGATAAATCGTTAAATTGTTAATTATATGGAATTTTAATATAAGATATTGATTTCTAAATCTAATTGGCTCCTGGATGGAATGATATTTACCATTTGTTTATCTATCGTTATAATTTAGTTAATCGTAGTAGTATTATTATAATATGGAAGACTCGTGAGGAGTTTTCTAAACATATAAGTAAATAATAAGTATAAAAAATAAGTATAAAAAATAAGTATAATTCTTTCGATCGATAAATCGTTAAGTTATTAATTATATGGAATTTTAATATAAGATATTGATTTCTAAATCTAATTGGCTGCTGGATGGAGTGAGCAATATTTATCATTTGTCCATTAATTTAATGTATTGTTATTCAAAATATAAGTTTCATTTATAATTCTTTCGATCGAGTCGCCAAATTGAATAATGGAATTTTAATATCGAAGATATATATTTATATTGGCTTCTGAATCTTTCATATTATATTATTTATCGAAGGAAAAAATATATATATATATAATATATAATACGTAATACACAGGCAAAGAAAGTATCATGCAGGAGTGCACGACGACATCTCACATGGAGAATGGCAAACAAACGTCTCGGACGAATTCGTTCGAGATAGAGAATTTGTTAAAAACGGCGGAACAAGTGACGGGGATCTGTCGATCGCCTGGTGAAACGCGAAAGTCGAGCCCAACCGGAAGCGTTGTTAGTTCTCATTCCCAAGCTTTGACGCCGAGCAGGCAGCTGAGCGACGCTGAGAAACTGAAGAAAGTTATTCTAGAATTAATTGAGACTGAACGTACTTACGTGAAGGTGAGAAAATTTTGTTAAAAAACTCGCGCTTGTTAAAAAACTCGAATTACACGAAATTAATTCTTTCAGAATTTAAATAATTTGTTGGAGAACTACTTAGAGCCCCTTAAACGCGAAACCTTCCTATCGAATGCAGAGATAAACGCATTGTTCGGGAACATACAAGAGATTGTTACGTTTCAACGGCAATTTCTACAAAATCTTGATCACGCGATCGAGATGGAAGCTGATTTCAATAATTTCGATCATCCTAGTCAATTTAAGGTACGCTTTATTATATATTTTTTGCTATATAAATCCATAAAATTTCTGAAAAAAAATCTATTATATCTTTTTGTCATTTTGAAAAAAAAGGGTGTCCTGTTTTCCATTGGAAGTGCCTTCTTGTATTACGTAAATCATTTCAAGTTGTACAGTTCGTTTTGTGCTAGCCACTCAAAGGCGCAAAAGGTTTTACATCCAAGTAAGTAAGAGAAATTCTAATCCTTTCGACGGGTTGCCTATTTGCGAATTGATTAAAAAAAAAGAGAAAAGATCATCGTATCCGTTACAGATGAAGGAAATCAAGCTTTACAAGAGTTCCTGCAAGCGCGAAATCCAAGGCAGCAACACTCGTCGACATTAGAATCGTACTTGATTAAACCTATTCAACGAATATTGAAATATCCTTTGCTCTTGCAACAACTTCGAAATCTCACCGACGAAAGGAGCGAAGAACACCAACATTTGATCGGTAAATTTATATATAATGTAGTGTTAAGAAGCAAAGAAAATTATCTCTTCTTTTATTCGTATATATGTATATATATATGTGTATATTTATCGTGGATTGCAGAGGCTTTGAAAGGTATGGAAAAAGTAGCAGAGCACATAAACGAGATGCAAAGAATTCACGAAGAATATGGAGCTATCTTCGATCACTTGTTCAGGCAACATCAAAAATCTTGCAAGCAGGTGAATAACCGGTTTCATCTCTAGTTCGTTCTTCAATTTTATAGCTGGAATTTATTTATTAATTCGTTATGTTGATTTATTAAATTGTGATTTTGTTAATTTCTAGATTAATAATATTGTTTGCTGGATTAGTGACAAATTGAAGATATAAAAAAATGTTGTTTATTCTATATTAAGTCAATTAGGATTTTAGTAAGAATAGTAGCTTTAGGATTTAATGAATTAATATTTTTATGTTTATTTATTCATATAATATTTAAATCATTAATATTTATATAAGTGTAGCAGGTATATACATTATATAAATAGAAGATTAGAAATATAAGAAATATTTTATATTTATCCATTAAAAAGGATAATTGTGTGGATTTCTATTTTTGATAGGATTTTATTTAAAAAATTTAATTATTGAATATTTTATAATTAGAAAAATAAATTATTTTTCTACAATTAATTTAATCGTAATTGTATATTTTTTTCAATAATATTAGTATTAAAAAATTATTTAATAATAAATGTAATTTATATAAAAGAAGATTTAATTATAAGTATAAGAATATTAATTACGATAATTTTAAGAATAATTTATAGAAATATATTAAATAATCTAAAAGATGAATCCATATATAATTCATTAGTGATAAGAAGTCTCGTAGAGGGAAGAGGGAAGAGGAATTTTTTGTAGGATCGCCTATTGATACATTGTTACTGAAAGCCTATTAATTATTTCAATATAATATTAATATATCTATGGTATATCTAACTTATTTGTATATATACAAATACGAAATTACATTAATAAATTAAACTATATCGTTATGAACCAAAATTAGCCTACATATTAAAAATAAAAAAATTTTTATATTATATCGATATTTAGAATTAGAATACTCTGAATTTTATGTCTACGCCAATGTATCGAAGTTTGAATACAGATCATCGTTTTATTTTCTTTCTCTGTCACAATCGAATTAATATACGTGACATATACCACGCTAGAAATAAAAATACGTGTGAAAATAGGCGGTTCCTCTCACATTCGACCAATCAGATCCACGAGACTTCTTTCCACAGTGAATAGTAAGACAATTCTTTAATTTTTACATCGAATTATTTTCTTATTTCAGCCGATCGATTTAAGCCCAGGAGATCTTTTGTATTATGGAGGTGTCGAGTGGCTCAATATTTCCGACTTTCTTGGTAAAATCAAGAAAGGTCTGGAACTGCACGCGATGTGTTTCGTTTTCAAATCTGCCGTCGTATTCCTGTGCAAGGAAAGATTGAGACAGAAGAAGAAACTTATGGTAAATAAAATTCGTTTATTCTCATTCGAGAACAGACGTAACGTAACAAATGTGATATAAACGTGATACGTTTTTGATCAGGGAGTATCGACAAAAGCGAACTCCAGCGAAGTGGAGATAATACGTTATCAAGTGTTGATTCCTGTAACGGAAGTGCAAGTTAGAGCCAGCTCCGCCAAAGACATGGAGTCTCATTTCTTGTGGGAATTGATCCATTTAAGAAGTCAATTACAGAGAAGATCGGAGAAAGTATATGTGCTTTCCAACAGGTATCGTCTAAAACATTTATATTTATTCCCTCCTTTAAAATTCTAAAAAAAAAAAAAAAAAAAAAAAACGCATTGTTGCCCCGAACATCAACCGCATCAATCCGACAAATCTTAATTTGTCGCGACACAGGTACATTTTCACGCTCTACGTATATAAAAATATGATACCCGCTTTTCGTTGCACGTAGTAGTAATTACACATTGGCACATGAAATCGAAACACGTTTCTCTCATTCGCAAAGTATCATATATAGTATATACATATATATATATTCCTTTGCATTCGGTCGAATCAATAACTCGAGACAATTTTTCTCATTTTCGGTGAATTTCTTACAAATACGAAATGATTTCACACAGAAGTTAACGTATAAAACTTTTATATATTATATATATAATATTTTACGTATCAATTCGCATACGTATCATTCTTATACGTTAAAGAGGTTAGGAATTTATTCACGATATTCTAAAAAGATCGAACAAATAAATAAATATTGTCGTCGTTGAGTTATCGATCCAAATGATGCCCGAGTGATCACATCTCGAATGCAAAAGGATATATATACATATATATCCTATATAATCGTCTATATAATCGTCGATATTATTTTATTTGTCCAGCACAACGGAATTCAGGAACGCGTTTTTGAGGACGATACGTCAAATTATTCGAGAATCGGTCCGGAACATGAGCATACCGTCGACGAAACAAAATCTTAGCCAACCACCGATCAGCATTTCCCCACGAATGTCGACCGGCCATGTGGAGAAATTCGAGAAACAGTCGGCTGGAACGAGCCAGGTGGGGCAAAACGGTGGCAACGGTGGTAGTGGGGCGGCCACGTTGTCCAAGAAGAAACAGCAATTGTTGACAACGTCGCACAACGTGAAGCGAAAATACAGCCAATCGAAACAGGCTGTGGAGCACGAGAGCTCCGAGGATAAGGACAACGAGGAGGCAGGGGCCTCGGCCATTAACCAACAGCAAACGACATTTCGCTCCCGGAGCAAGACCATAAGCGACACATCCGGTAAGATCGTTTTTTCTCATGACGAGGCAAATCTCGTATCTCGTTTACCTCTTCACTCTTAACCGATTTTCACGGAATATATAAAAGTCGACGCGTTAAACGTGCACAGGGGAGATAAAGGTCGAGATGGACTCGGGGACGAAATCGGAGGGTGAGGAAGACTCGCAAGCTTTTTTAGGTGAGAAGAAGGCGAATTTGGGCCGTACGCCGAATCATTTGACTTTGAGCACCACTTCGACAATTTCAGCAGGAAGTACGGGTAGTCAAGCGAGATTGATCCAATCTTCTCATCAACCGGAAAATTATCAACCGATCACGGTCAAGGAACTTGGTAAGAATATGTAAAAAAATAACTTTTTCAATTCTATATTTATCTATTCTTTATTACCAGTAATAATTTTTTTTTTCACTTAAGAAAAATAGTAATTATTGAAGAATTAATCGCGTTATTATTCTTCCATTCTATCTATCGCGTAACTATATATATATATATATGTATACATGTTATTGATTGAAGGTTCGCCGATTTGGAAACCGCGGGAATTACCCTCGTTAGGTGAGTCCACGACGTTGCCACGTAAGGGTAAGTCGGCGAGCGAGTTTGGGGATATAAGCTCGTCTCATAGCGCCTCCCGAAAGTCTCTCATAGAAATCAATAATTGTGCTCAACAATCTAACTGTAATAACCACGTTTAAATTAAAAGAAAGGAAAGAGAAAAAAAAAAGAGAAAAAAAAATAGATGTTAACTGATTGACAAACCATCAAGGTTAAGTTTAAAAAAGAGGGGGAAAAAAAAAAGAAAAAAAAAAAAAAAGAGAAAATACCGTGCAACAAAGTAAATAACTATTCGATTATCGCGTAAAAAAAAAATTGTAAAGACTTAACTTAGCGCTCGCTTGCCGCCCACGCGGAATAGTTAAAAAGACAAAAAAAAAAAAAAAAAAAAAAAAAGAAAAAAAGGAACTATTCTCGCCCCTGTACGCGTTTCCCAACACACTAACACACCAACTTCCGCACCACATCTCCTTCTCGTTTTTTCGTCTTCCAAACGCGCTACGCGTTGATATATATGTATAAATATATATATATATATAAAAAAAAAATTAATAATAACAATAAAAAAAAATGTCGTTGGTGCTACTCCTCTGTACAACGAACGATATTCAATTGTTTGACAGGAGAGAATCTTAAAGAAGGGAGAGAACTTTGCTTTTAGAACTTGTGCGGGAAACAAACACACTTCCCTCGCAATCGATCGAACGACCGAAGAATGTTTTCGATACACGCATGACTTTATTATGCGCGAGTGATGACAATTTCAAAGTACTTTACGTTCTTACGCCGGCTATATCTTAATCTTTCATCCGCTATTGGATAGACGCATCGATCAGTTTATTGTCGCGTTTTATCGATATTATATGTATCGATCGAAAAATCGAATCATCGGTTACAGTGATAAATTGCCATAATATAGGCGTGGTGCACATTCTTGTCCATAAATCTGCCTATGTAATAAATCTTGAACGTAATATTTATTAAAAATATCACTGAAAGAATAATTTTTCATTTCGAACAATTCTATCTTCTAAATACAAAATTCCTTTTTTATCTATTTCGAGATTTATCGACGGGAAAATGTGCACACGTGCTAGGGAGTAAAACGAATTTAACGAAATTTGCGAGATTTTATCTATTGATATTATCACACACATCGATCATTATCGCCACTACCAACGCTGTTGCCGCATCCCGTTATTACAACCACAACTATACTAACATCTTCGACTTCAACCACTACACAATTACTACGGTTACTACTATAACTACTGCTACTATCGCTACTACTATCGCTGCTGCTGCTATTACTACTTCTGCGATTATTGCTGCTCCTGCTGTTTACAACTTATTGCATGCCATCCGTACAAGCACGTACGAAGCGATTTTCGTTTATACCTCGACTCTCGTCTCGATTGTAATTATTTCACGATGTTTTCTTTTCTGCGTGGACGGCAATGCGACACCACGTAATAATAAAACTCTGTATATAATGTAATATTGATGCGATCAATATTGTCATTATTATTATTATTTATTATTTATTATTATTATTATTATTATTATTATCGTCGTCGTTGTCGTTACTATGATTATCGTTGCGCATACAGTATTCATGTTATCGTATATTATATCAATCATCAAGATTCTTTTTTAATCGTTATTTTTGTTGTTATTATTATTATTATTATTTAATTATTATTATCTCTATTTAAGATTATCATTATTTTTTATTCTAATTATTTAAATGATTAAATTATCATTATATCGCCATTATTATCATTATCATCATTATCATTATTATTATTTCTGTATTATATACTATTATTATAATAATATCGTTACCGTAGTTATTACTGTTATTATATCATATTTCATCGTTGTTTTCCTCATCTCTTTGTATTCGTTGTTGAGACGATACGCATCATCGTTATGGTCGACTAATTTGAGACATAATATATATGTCTGTAAAAAAAGAAAAGAAAAAAAAGAAAACGAACGACGACGTAACGACGAGTAAATTTAGCGATCAAGTAAAAAGAAGAAAAAAAAAAATGAATTTAACGAGATAAGTCGTATATATATATATACATATATGGATTTCAACAAAGAAAAGAAAAATAAAAAAAAAACGTACAACTATTGTGTGTACATATGTATGTCGCGTGTGTATGCGCGTATGCACGCGTTTGTGCGTACGTGTCTTTACCACGTATTTTACTTCGAATAAGTAACTTTGAAAACGATGGCACGTACAGAGTATAGATACAATTCGTATACATGCATATGTGTATACATATGTACATATATGTATCGTATATGAGGAAAGGCGGTTTTCCACATGTTTGTCACATCCACACACACATCCACACACACATCCACACACACACACACACACACACACACACACACACACACACACACACACACACACACAAATACAAAACGCTGAGTTTTAATCTTATTTTTTGGACTCGAGTATTCTTTTCGTAATAGGAAATTTTATTTTTAACGTTAATCAATGAATTATAATACAACTGGTGATAAGGATATTCGAGGCTAAAAATATTAAGGGAGGGGATGGGGGGAGGGGAAGGGTGACGAGGTTTGCGGGGCTTTGCAAAGGAAAGGTCTCTTTGGTCGACGACCTTATATAAATATATAATATGTTCGTTGTTAAATGAAGCGAGCGAAACGAGCGAAGAGCGAGTAAATATACCTACCTACCTACCGCTCAACCGGTATCTTTATTGATCTTAAAAAGAATCAATTATGGTGATATATATACGCGCGTTTAAGCTTTTAAGATCTATCTAAAATGAGAAAAAGGAAAAGAGAAGAGAAGAGAAACGTTAATTAACGTGAAAAGAAAGAAAACGTCCGTGTGGAATACCGTCGTAACATCGATGATATATATATATATATTATATTATATATATATAAATATATATCACAAAAATTAACGATATTCGACGTATAAACGCAATGTTAAATGAGTACTAATAATAAGTTAACACGATATCGAGTGATTAATACTTGTAAATTAGAAAACAGAAAGTATATCTATATCTACATGTATATCTACATATATACGTATGTGCGTGCGTGAACGTATGTGCGCCCGTGGGTGTGTGTATATATATATGGTATATATTATACATATATATATATATATATATATATATATATATACAATATATACAGGATGAGAGTAAATGGTTGTTCATAAATCTAAGGATATATATATATATATATATAAGTGCACGTGGTGCACATCGTGTACGCTTACACTTTTCCTTTACTTTCTCGTTCTTCCTCGAATGAATGAAGAGAATACACCGATTCCAATTCCGAGATAGAAACGCGATAAAATTTTCAAAAAAAGAAGACGAATAATGTATCCATAAATTTTTGAACATCACTTGGAATCATCCTATATATAAAAATTATTACGTACACATATATTATTTATATGAATGGCACGCATATACGGATGCATAGGGAGAAAAAAAAAATTATATTATTTATTTTCTTCGAAACACTTCATCGAGGATTACGCGTTGACGATGTAAATCGATTGTGTCGAACAAGAGGATTTTATGTTACAAACTACTCTATCTAAGTTTAATCACTTGTTTGATCGTTGAAACGAACAATGAAGCGTAAAGTTTAATATTATTTCTTTTCGTTTTCACTATTTACACTCTATTCCTCCTCGTTTTTTCTTTTTTTTTTTTCTTTTTTTTCCTTTCTTTTTTTTTCGTAAACGTTATCTATAATCGTTCGTACCTTCTGTGGAGAAAATAAGAAGCACAAAATGCAAAGTGTAAAGACAATTTATCCTATCGAGTATCGAATATAAACACAATTTATTTTTATCGTCGAAACGGATCGCATTTTTTACCGAATGTCTTCCAATATATTTTTTCATATATATAACATTACACCTTCCACGTTCGACATTACCGATTTAGAATTCCGGGAAAATTTTTTTTTCGATTTATCCAATAAAATATGTATGTATATATTTCAACCGAACGAATCGAATATGTATAATACATAGAAGGAAAACGGAACACGATCGAGTGTATCGAGATTATTATGTGCTTTGCGCGACATTCATTTTTTAAACAATGAAAGAATGAGAAAAGAGCGCATTAATTCTGATCTAATTTTGATCGATTCGGTCACGATCCCATTCGATGACGGTACGCGTGACGACCGTGTCCAACGGGAAAGATTGAACTTCGATTGAACTCGTCTCTATTGCAAAGTCATCTTCGCACATGTTTGTATTTACTAGTTATCTTATCTTTGAAAAAAAAAAAAAAAAAAAAAAAAGAAAAGGAATCCATTAATATTTTTATCGAAACACCTGTGTGTGTATAAACACCTGTGTATAATTTCTTAATTAGAACGTTAATTGTTAAAGCGTTAATTGATAAGCGCAACGGGATTATTTTAATATTTATTTTTCGTATTTTATATTCGTATATAAAAATAGATACTACTAAAATCTCGATGATTGACTCGACTTCAAATTTATTTATATCATTCATTTATTCTTCTTCCTAGATCTATTTCGAAAAAAAAAAAAAGAACGAGAGATCAAACAAGATAAGTAGAAAGAAAGCATAAAAAAAAAAGGAGAGGAGAGACAGGTCGAAACCGAAAATCGATCGATATATACATCGACATATATATATATATATTTTTTTTTTCCTATCTAAAAAAGAGAAAAAAAGTTTGATCACACAGGTGCGCTAATAAAATTCTAAACACTCAATGCTCAATTATCATCAAGTGTGTGCTCTTTTTCTCATTCGACATCCATATATACATATATACGTGCGCACATTAAACAACATATGCACACACTTACATTAGCAATCGCATAATATCGCACACGTGCGCATATACACACAATACGTACGTAATGTTATCGATTAATATATTTCACGACAGAGAAGAAAAATAACAAAATACCTACTTATCGATTACTACTAGATGTCATGCGTGCGGATTTAAAAAAAAAAAAAAAAAAAGAAAAAAATCTACAGAAGATTTTCCGTTGCTCGAGTTATTGCATTGTCTACTACTATTACTACTACTACTAATACTACTAATACTGATACCAATACACACACACACATACACAAAACACTACATTACACGCAAAAACAGGAACACAGACACAAATTTTATTGTATAAATTATTTTGCCGAGATGCGTCTCCGAATAAAAAGTTTGGCATTTCCCTTTTTTCTCGATCCGCAGCGTGACAGATCCTACTCATTCTACACGCTCTACGCTATAGATAAGATTCTCTTTCCCCTGATAATAAAAATCGCGAGATGAAAATGTAAAATCGGCTTACGATCTTACGTACGAGAATTATCCACGATTTTTTCAGAGATCGAGATCGAAATCCAATAACGAGAACGAAACGTTTTATCTCGATGATCGAATGATGATTTGACGAAAAAAAAAAGAAAAGAAAGAAAATTGTAAACGTTTCGTATTAAATTTTGACAATCAATTGCGAAGCTTAGATTTGCTATTCGTTTCTTTTTCTTTTTTCGTTTCAAATCAAAGAAGAAGAAGAAGAAGAAAAAGAAGAAGAAGAGAGAAGGAAAAAGGAGAAAGAGGGAATTAGGGCGAGGGAATAAGCGTAATGATTATCGTTAATCACAAGCGTTTTAATGAACAATAATAAGTATCGTTATTTAATAAGGATAAATTGAAAAAAAAAATGGAGAATCGGCGCAGGAGGAAAAGGAGGAGAATATATAATAAACAGAGAGAATCTTAGGCCCGAGGGGGGATATAGGTTTCGAGAAAACGCGCAAAGTTCCTGAAGATTAAGATAAAACGCGGCCAGAATGAACACGCGGATGAAACGAGAAAAATGGCGAATAATGGACGAAACGTAGGTGGAGACGTATCTTGGTAAAACATAGTTGGCCTAGTAACGAGTTTCATATTTTTCGCCCCGAATCGCAGTGAAATCGTCGAATAATTATCATCTATTATACAATATTATTGACATTATCCACAAATTTTATTGAAATAAAAAACTTTATCGATACCGTTGAACATAATGTACTTGAATTATGACGACGACAACTTCGATACTGTTATATTGGAAAGGGAGGAATGAAAGGTGGGAAGAGAAAAGTGAGAAGGATAAGAAGAGGGAGTGAGCGAACGAGCGAAAGCGAGCGAAAAAGAGAGAGAGAGAGAGAAAGAGAGAGAAGTATACGTGTGATTGTACGTGAAAGAAATGAGTGAGGGAGAAAAGAGAAAGAGAGAAAGCGAGAGAGAGAAAGAGAAAGGAGAGAGAGAGAGAGGGAGTATGCGTGAGTGCATGCGTGTAGAGAGGAAGACAGAAATGGCGGAAAAGTATACACACGGACACAAACCGTTCGAATGGATGTGAATCCGAACATTTTAAACGATCGATAGGATTATTATTGTATAATATAAGCGGGAGTAAAAAAAAAAGAAAAAAAGAAAAAAAATGCGAATACGAAAAAAAAAAGCAAAATGGAACAGGGTGGGCTGTTCGTAAAAGATGAAACAAGGATAGGATAACGATTACAGATAAACTATGTAACTGAAGTCTTTCCATCTTCTTTTTTTTCCTTTCATTGTGTCACGTAAATACGTCTTTACACGCGACTCTTATGTGCGATGAATCTTGGACGATGAGTAGAGAAAGGGGAAGGAAAAAAAAAAAAGAATA